TTCCGTGAACAGTCAATTTGGTAGGCAGAACTGCATTCATCTTTAAAAATACTTATGCTGCTTTGAAATGCATTTTTAATTTTATCTGGAGTGAAACTTAACCTAAAGCTATTTGGTCAGGAACCATGCTGTTGTGTTGATACTGCAAAGTAGCACTTAATGAAAACTGGGGGAGAGAATTGTCCATTTCTGTGTATCCTTTTGGGTAGGGGTAGTTGTGTGAATGGTTTTTAAAAAACAAACCAACCAACCCACAAAAACCTCCTTCCCTTTCTTCTAAGCTTTTTGGGACTAGGCAAGAAATAATGAATATAAATGGGACCAAGTGGGATGAGGTCTCTGCTTGTAGGACCAACTCCCCTTCCTTTCCCATCTGCCCCCTATGATAATGGGGGGAACTGACATAATGAAAGAAATAATGTCCAGGGTTTGATTTCGTGTTTAGCCCCTTCTTAGCTACACAAACTGCTTTTGAACTCGCTTCTGTAAGGCATGTGTAGTGGTCAGAGGTAGAAATAATGGTGGTGGAGGGTTGCAATCTGTGAAGGATTATTTTTATTAAATTTAAGGTTTGACCATTTCCCCTACCATGTATTTCCAAAGGAAATTTGGTTGGACACTGATTTCAGCTTTTACAGTTGGCGCTTGCTTAAGAAATCTCCATCCTTGCATTGTAATATCATTTAGGATGACTTCAGTTGAATGCAGTGCTGCTTTAAAGTCACAATATTTACTTTTTTTTATGTAGTGGAAGATCTGGAACTGCTTGTATAGGAACTTCTGTCACTTAGCATAGATTATATTAACCAGCTTTATGAAAAATTTAAAAGGCAAAGAGCCCCATTTAGTCTCTTTTGTGTGAAATACTGCTTATAAAACAGTTGTTCAGGGGTGAAAATGGCCAAGGAGCAACAGTTTCTGTGTGTAGCTGGCCCGCTGTTCTTGGTGTTCCCTTGTGAATGACTGCTCATGTCGGCTGTCAGCTTGTGCTTTAGGACCAGCCATTTCAATAGGGCTGCAGGAGAGATGAACATTATATTGGCTTATCAGGTCTAGCACTCAGTAGGCAAAAACTAATTTAAGGTTTGGCGGCACTCTGGGGATGTGAGTGTGGTTATAGTCAAAGCTGCTCTGCTAGACTAGCGCCTCTTTATCTTTATTCCCAATTTCCCTTTCTTCTATGTGCATCCCAGCAGTCAGAACTGCTTATTTTATTGATCACAACAAAATGTTGTTAACAAATGACTGAGCCAACCTTTGGGAGAACAAGCTGAATTCTGTATGCAGAGCCATACAAAATAATGACGCTGTGAGGATCTTCTTGTAGATGCGTTGCAGTGACGTAACCCAAGGAAAGCCAGTGGTTCAGGGCTCTGTTTCCATTTAGTTTTGTAGCTGGGATGGTTAAAAAGCAGGAACTTTTCATGATGAGTTTTGAATGGGTTGGATATGGAACTGAATTAATGACCTTTTAATAGTTGTTAAAATATTGGAAGCCTTGTACCTATTAAAATGTGATCTGCACATTAATTTTCCTCTCAAGAAGATCAGTTATTATCAGTGTTTATTTTAAAAATTAATTTTGAGGTTGTGCAGATGTGTGCTGGCTCATGAAAAAGGACGGAAAAAAAGAACTTTCTGTTACCTTTGTGGGAATTTAGGCCACTCTAGTCAGAACTTAAGCCTAACAAAGGCTGTGCATATTAAAAACAAATGTGTGTCATATTAGTCATTAATGTCTGTCAACCTTATGTACTTAATATTTATAATGAACTCTGCTTATGTGGTCTCTCTCTGAGAGAGTCTTAATCTTCATTGTTCAAAAGAATGTATTCTTTTTGTCAGATTAATAAACTGGTGTATTTAAAATTCTATAATAAATTTGATCTTTTTTTTTCTTACCAACAATGTATTGCCCTGTATTTTTAATTCTGTCTTTCACTTGCTTTGTACCAGGATCCCGCAGCATGAAGCAGGTGTCCGGGTGGTGGGATTGTGCTCTGCTCACTGTAGGGCTGTTTGTTGTGAGGCGTAACAAGACAAGGGAAGGAGGGTGATGATGATGACTGAGATCTGAATGCTTTGCCTCTGACAGATAGCTAACATGGTGAAAGGTAACCCTCAGGCTGGCACAGTGTGATGGAGGAGAGAGAAAATCAGGAAAGACTGGAGGAGCAGTGCCACAATTCAGGATTTAAACAGAGCACTAAGCGTGGCTTGCTTGTGTACTTAGAGCTGTCTGATGATGATTGGTGCTGGTTATTGGTTCAAGTCACTTCCAAGTTAAAACCAGTGCATCTTTCCTTTACCAGTGTGGCCCTAAAGGCTGTTTAGGGAGTGTGACTTCATTGATTCTGGTGAGATGTGTTTAGGGAGTATGCAGGCTCTTAAATCTGACTTTGAACTTTCTGTTCTACTCTGTCGAGACTTTTGCATTTGAACAGGCAATGCTGCCTGGTGGCCTGTTCCCAAATTTAGGAACTTTCTCAAGATCTAAGAACCTTGAATGTATCTTGCTCAATTTCCATAGAAAACAAAAGTTTCTGGGTTCTGCCTGCGTGTGGGCCTCCAGTCTTTGCGTCTTTCTTCTGAAAGTGAAAATGCTTGTTTAATGCTCAAGACTGAGTATTAACAAGAAGCACTGGAGACTGTAAGGTAGAGGGAATATTACTTACTGAGTTGGAATCTTGTCGCCTTCCTCTGTTATTTCTGCATCCAGTAACTTCTTAAAAAAGCTCTGCTAGAATGTGGAGCAGCCCAGTAAAGGGGAGTCTGGTGCTTTGCCAGATTGCAGCAGAGGTGAGTAACCAGCTAAAGTAGCGCAGGATCCCTGAATTTTCTTCCTGTGACAGATGTAGTTAATGACCTGAAATCCATTTGCATGGTTTATGCACAAAGCTGATAATTTTAAGATGTTAGAGGATAGGAGGTATCTAGAACCTGGAGACACAGCTGTGCTTTCTCGAGCTGCAGATTCACGAGAAGGTAACTTCCTTTGGAAATAGTTGGAAGCCTCAGGGTTTTTCCAAGCTGGTCTAGCTTGTGTGGTCGATGTTCTTACCTCCTTCTCGTTATGGTCAGGGCTTTGCTGTATGATACAGCCCACTCCAGGCCAGCAGATCACTGTGCAAGGTGGGTGACCTTCGGCCCGTTCTTGGAACACCCTGTTGAATTAGTGATGAAAAACTGTTTGTCTGGAAAATAAAGCTAACAAAATCCTAGAGTTAGAACTCATAATAATATCTTTTTTATATATCTGTTCTCATACCCTAAAAAAATGGTTTAGGCTGTTTGCCAGTGAAGGCAGAGCACTGTGAGGAGCGGATTTGAGCTATCCCGGGTGGGGAGTTGTGGCGCCTTGCCACGATTCACTGGCTGCCTGTTCGTGCCTCTGTTGTATTTTGACTGTTCAGCTGTGCTAGCACAATTGTCCGTCTATCTGTGCTGTCAGCTGGATGAAATGCTGGGGGGGGGCGGGGGCTAGTCCGGAGCATTTCAGCAATCTCCCCATGCAGTTTGGGAGCTGTTGCAGCAGAGCAGCAGAGGGCTACAGCAGAAGTTTGGGAATGTGCTGGCAGGGGTGGGGAGGTACATGAACTAGAGCAGTGTGCTGCCAGAGCTGTATCCTGAAACAATAGCCTAAGCAGAAAAAAATCTGTAGTAGCTCTAAAGATGCGTATGATCCTTGGCGCTGGGAGAATGCTGGTGAGCTCATTCTGGAAGTGTGGAATGAGAAGAGTTGTCTGTAAATTTGTTGCGGAGGGATCAGGAATGTTTTCTGCCCATGTCTGCTTTTCTATAGGAAAAACAGATCATATGGATGAGTAAGATCAACAAATGTGTACTTTGAACTGAAGTAAGAAATATTCCCAAAGTTGAAGAAACCTCACTGAGACTACCTTTCTTCCTTGTGCTCAAGCCAGGATACTGTTAGCTTGAATACCAAAGTTATATGTGATACAGTATTTGCTGAGACTAAGGGAGGATGGCTTAATTGCTTTTAGTCTTGTTTCCCTTTAGTTATTTCTTGCTCTAGTCAGTAATACAGGGATTTAAGAAAATGTGTGTAGTTGCATTGGCTGCATAATAAAGAACCTAGTAGGACAAATCTTGCCTTTGGAGTTGTTGATGAGAAGGTCTCATGGAGAGCCTGATCTAGTGTGGCTGGGTATGAAGCAGCAGCCTGAGAGAGTTTCAGCCCCAAAGTAGTGGGAAACTCCTACTACAAAATGTACCTTTTATTTTCATAATACCTTTTGGTAAAGCTGGGGTTTGTGTGCTAAAGATCTCTCTGCACTAACATTTTTCTGTTAACAAGGCAACACCTTGCATGGAGGCAGAGATTTTTAGCTCATCTTTTACTTCACATGCAATCTACTAGAACTTGTTTTGCTGGATGAAGTTCTGCTTTGTTTTGTATCTTGTTTGTAGTATGAAATGTCTCTTCCCCTTTTTGTGGTGAACATATTTATGAATTAAATTACTTAAATAAAACACCTTATATGGCCCCAACAGGGACTGCAAATAATTGTTTACTTACTGTAGTTTTTTGTTTTTGTAATAAAAATAGACTAGGCTTATAATGTACCCCGGATTTTGACAGGTAGCTCATTGCCATGTTCTTGACTGGAGTGGTTCTTAAAGTGGGTTGCAGCCTTCCTCTGCAAAAGGTCAAGTATGCAAGGGACATCCAGTTACCTCTAATTACTGGTGGTGGCTTGGGGCCTCCAAAGCAATGTTTAGCAGTTGACAGTTGCTGTAGCAGTTTCTCATTTCCATCTCTGAGGAACTGAGCAGCTAGCAACAGAAAGGCTTGGGGCTGTTTTTGGGGCTGGGGAAGCAAGCTATGAGTTGTAAAGTCTGAGGTGTTGTCAGCGTAGCTTTCTCCTGTGTTTATCTGGCTGCACAACTCCTGGGTCCTGCCTCGTAAGGCAATATAGCGGCCAGGTAGCACCACTGCACTATGTAAATGTTGGTATGAAGAATTAATTTAAAAAATAATGTCTTTTCTTTCAGTTGTGTTGATTGGAGACTCTGGAGTTGGGAAGAGTAATCTTCTGTCACGTTTCACACGTAATGAGTTCAATCTGGAGAGTAAGAGCACCATTGGGGTGGAATTTGCCACCAGGAGCATCCAGGTGGATGGGAAGACAATAAAAGCACAGATCTGGGATACTGCAGGACAGGAAAGATACCGTGCCATTACCTCAGCGTGAGTACTATGTCTTTGCTCAGGCTAACAGCAGAATTCTAGCAGAGATGGTACAGATAAACTTATGGGTAGAGAATTAATGAAACATATTTGGGATACATGACAAAATTATTATGACCAACTTCAGTGTACATCCAAGTCATAAGACAACAAATATTTTTGTGTTCCTTGATTAATATAATGAAAGTAACTTTTAGATTCTAATGATACTGTTATAGAAAAAATGACAGCTTAAATGAAGTGTGGGAAATTTTGTTCTAAGTCTTGTGATTTGGGGTTTTTTACCTGCCCTGGGTATGCTATCTTCATTATGTGGAATGAGTGTCATTTCTGATGGAAGCTGAGTACTATTTGGCATCAGGTTTTGGTCTAGGCACAGTGTCTTACTGTAACGCCAGTGACTTCTGGTCTTCACTGTCCCCTCAATCTTGAGATTGAGGGTATTTTTAGGACAGTCTGCAGCCACAAGCTCCCTTGAAATGTCAAGGATTTTAAATTAGTCACAGCCCTGAAAATTGGGTCCAAGAGTGCATGCTGAATAACCAGTAAGTAGGAAGGCAACTGTGATAGTGCTGACTCTCCAGTATTGGGCACATCCCTATTTAGAACAATGGTGTTAAGAAGCTTTCATGTATGGCACCTTGTTAATCCACACAGTGCCGTAAGATGTAACCTCTGGGTGTATCTGCTTCTGTGCAGGTAGTAGGCAAAAGTATCTTTTAGAGGAAAAAAGAAAAACCCTGTTGGCAGGCTTAGTTATCCAGGGCATATTCTGATTAGAGAGTTGAAAATCTTTAGTGTTACAGATATATATCTATTTTTAAAGGTATAAACTTGTTTCTCAATCATGCACAGCTTGAGCCATTTGTATTAAACTCAATGTAAGGGGAACTTTTTTCATTGAGGTGAAATAGGGTAATGCAGAATAGGTGGGAGAAAAATAGAAGAGTGTGGAGCCCAAAGGGAATAATCTATAGGGAAGGAATGCAAAAACAAAGTAATGCAGAAGCAGGTGTAAGTGGTGATTTGAAATTGCATCTTTTCCATAATTGTTGGTGTGTTTTTTCAGAAATTTTTTTGTGACCCTTAAATTGTTCTTACTGCTGTACAAGCTTAGCAGAAAAACTGCTGGCTGAGTCTGGTTCAACAACAGGCTTGGCCAATGACAATTGGTGCATCTGTAGTCCTGTGATCTTGCCTCTCCTTTGTGCTGGCACGAGCTCTTGCTTGACACATCACTAGGCCAGTTCAGCTTGCTAAGCCAGCAGAATGCCAACCAGCAGTAAAAAGTGAATGTTTTCTGCTGAGTTGGTGCCCTGAATTGGTTCAGCAACATGTTGGACAGGTGCTGGTGGAGCTGAGGAGAAATGATAAGATTATGTGGAAGAGAGAGATGGACATTATAGAACTGATGATTGGCTTGTGATGTCCTGAGCCTTTGGCTGGAGTTGAAATGGGCTCAAACCTGCACTGAGGGAGCAAACTCTATTCTTGGATTATGGGCACGTGGATAAGTGTCAATATAGCCCAGAGTCCCTTAAGAGGGACAGGAAGTATTTGAAAGATCAGCAAAAAATACTGACATTTTACGAAGGACTACTTTCCTAGTAGGAAGATAAGTTATAACTTCACAAAAACCTTCTATCACTACTGATTCTGAAATGCATTGTGAGTTTTCTTGCACACTGTTTTAGCAGACTAAAAATGTCATGGCTTCCACAGTCTTTTCAGCATTTTGTTACATACGTTGGAATTTTTTAGGAATGCCATTAAAAAAATTCCAGCATTTGGAACTTGGTTTTAGATTTAAAAAAACCCCCACAACAGTACAACTTTTTCCAAAGTGCGGGGCATGTTTTTAACTTTTTAGTAGTAACCAGTATAGAAGAGCCAGATACTGGGTTTGTTGGTGTAACTCAGACAGAGCTCTCTGTAAAGGAATGTGCCTTATGGTTTCAGATATTACCGCGGTGCTGTTGGGGCTCTTCTTGTCTATGACATTGCCAAACACCTCACCTATGAGAATGTGGAGCGCTGGCTAAAGGAGCTTAGAGATCACGCAGACAACAATATTGTCATCATGCTGGTGGGTAACAAGAGTGACCTCCGCCATCTGAGAGCCGTGCCTACTGATGAGGCCCGGGCTTTTGCAGGTCTGTAGACAGTGTGTTCTGGGTTGGTGCTTTCTGAACTTGATGTTGGTGCAAGCTGTAATCGTGTTATTGTTGTTCAGGACTGAACTTTCACCTCCAGTTTTATTTTTGACCCTAAAAAAGCATTTAAGATAGCGTGTGTGGTTGAGTGGGGTTTTTTTGTTGTTGTTTTTAAATCTAGTGGTAGTACATGTTTTTGAAACATTGTCCTTGAGCTGCCTGATAGCTGAAGATTAAATACTTCCTCTAGCAATGCTAGAAACAGTAAGCAATGTTTAGAAGAGAAAATGTCACAACATAAATATAAAATATCACAAGACAAAATGTCTTTCCTTCCTTCCTAGAGGCCTGGTTCTCCTGAATACATATCAACGTAGACAGCTGCAAACGAATACTGAACCTTCTCTTAGATGGTGTAGTTTCTGCTCCAGAGCACTGATGCATTTAGTAGCATTATAGAATCTTTGGGTTGGAAGGGACCTTTTAAGGTTATTTAGTCCAACCCCCCTGCAAGGAGCAGGGACGTCTTCAGGTAGATCACATTGGTCAGAGCCCTGTCCAACCTGATCTTGAATGTTTCCAGGAATGGCGCATCTACCACCTCTCTGGGCAACCTGTGCCAGTGTTTTACCACCTTCACTGTGAAAAATTTCTTCCTTATATCAAGTCTAAATCTACCCTCTTTTAGTTTAAAACCATTACCTCCTGTCCTATCGCAACAGGCCCTGCTAAAAAGTCTGTCTCCATCTTTCTTATAAGCTTTTAAGTTTTTAAGCTTTTTAAAACTTTTTTTTAAGTACTTATAATCCAGTACTTCCTTTAAGTACTGGAAGACTGCAACAAGGTTTCTCCAGAGCATTCTCCTCTCTGGGCTGAACAACTGCAACTCTCTCAGCCTGTTCTGAGAGGAGAGGTGCTCCATCCCTCTGATCATTTTTGTTGCCTGCTCTGGATCTGCTCCGACAGGTCCATGTCTTTCCTGTGCTGAGGGCTGGATGCAGCACTGCAGGGGGGGGGGGTCTCACCAGAATGGAGTAGAGGGGCAGAATCCCCTCCCTTGACCTGCTGGCCACGTTACTTTGGGGGCAGCCCAGGATACGGTTGGCCTTCTTGTCTGCAAGCGTACGTTGCCGGCTCATGTCCAGGTTTTCATCCACCAGGACCCCCAAGTCCTTCTTGGCAGGGCTGCTCTTCATCCCCCAGCCTGTACTGATACCAGGGGTTGCCCCGAGCCAGGTGCAGGACCCTGCGCTTAGCCTTCTTGAACCTCATGAGGTTCATGTGGGCCCATTCCTTGAGCTTGTCCAGGTCCCTCTGGATGGCATCCTGTCCCTCAGGTGTGTGTCAACCACAGCTTGTTGTCATCTGCAAACTTGCTGAGGGTGCACTCGATCCCACTGTCTGTGTCACTGATGAAGATATTAAAGGTCCCAATACAGACCCCTGAGGGACACCACTCGTCACCAATCTCCATGTGGACATTGAGCCATTGACCACTACCCTCTGGGTGTGACTGTCCAACCAATTCCTCATCCACCCAACAGTCCACCCATCAAATCCGTATCTCTCCAATGCAGAGAGAAGGATGTTGTGGGGGAGTGTGTCAAAAACCTTAGAGAAGTCCAGATAGACAACATTGGTAGCTCTTCCCTTGTCCACTGAGGTGGTCACTCCATCATAGAACGCCACTAGGTTGGTCAGGCAGGACTTGCCCTTGGTGAAGCCATGCTGGCTGTCTCAAATCACCTCCCTGCCCTCCATGTGCCTTAGCATAGTTTCTAGGAGGATCTGTTCCATGATCTCCCTGGGCACAAGGTGAGGCTGACGGGTCAGTAGTTCCCAGGGTCCTTCTTCCTACCCTTTTTACAAATGGGTGCAGTATTTCCCTTTTTCCAGTCTCCCGGGGCTTCACCTGTCGGGACTTTTCAAATATCATGGAGAGTGGCTTGACAGCTACATCAGCCAGTTCCCTCAGGACTCTGGGATCATCATCGAGTTTAAATTACAGTGATCATCAGACTTGGAGATTATCAATTGTTGGAAGAAAACAAGTGGGTTTTCATGTTTCTCAACATGTGAGCTGCTGCCACTGCATTACTTCTCTCTCTTTCTTATATTGCAGAGCACTGGTCGAATATTCTTTTTGCCCATATAGGACTAGGGGCATTCAGCTTACTTTTATGTGGCTATCAGGCTTGGAGGTGGAATTTAAATGTATAGCCTTTAAAATCCTTCTGGGAATATTACTAGCACTTGCTTAAACATGTTTTCTGAAATTTGCTAGTGTGCATGTACCCTGTGGTTAGTAAAACCACTTTAAATTTTCAGACAAATGAGGAGTGAAGGTTATATAAGAGAAGTAAAATGAGTTAGTAGGTACTCTAGATAGTGCATTACTGTGGTCAGTTGGTTCAAGGTCTTATTTTTTGCCCCTGACTTCCTACTAAGGCTGTTTTAAATAGCTAGTAATAGAACAGGTGTTGCTGTTTAAGGTCTATGACTGAAATTTGCCTATTTCTGGGCAGGTGGTACAGTACCATTCTAGGTGTGATGTTTGGGTGTTAATCATAATCTTTTAATTAAAAGATCTTTTGCATTGTAAGAGGAAAGAAGAAAATAGACTGTATTACTAGAGGTTTTATTGTGATTTGGAGGTGGGGTCTGATTAGGAAAGTGTAGGTCTGTTTATCTTTTTTGGGTTGCAGCGGAGAATTGTGATTCCTGTTGCAGCAACATGCCTGTGCTCTTGCTGAAGGTACTTCTAGGAGTAATATGTAGCCAGATGAGAATAATATTGTATTGCTTGACTGAACAAGGGCTGCAGTGAGGAAAATGTTATCATGCTATGGCAAGGCAGTGGTCAAAGGTGATGCTGCTGAAATGCCAGCTGCTAAAGGAATGATCTGCCAAGTTGTTCTGAGTGTAAGAGGAAATAAAAATTAAAAAAGACTGTGCTCCAGCTGATTTGGCCTAAAAATAAAGTTGAAAACCTCAAAGTAAAGGTGAAATAAAGTGCTATTAAAGTTCTTAACCAAACCACTTGTTATTTATTACAGAAAAAAATAACTTATCTTTTATTGAAACTTCCGCTCTGGATTCAACAAATGTAGAAGAAGCCTTCAAGAACATCCTTACAGGTATGGTTCAGAGAACCTCCTGAGGTAGTCGATCTTCTTCATGGGCATGTTTTGCAGTTATCTAGAATGTTTTGGAAATGAATGGGAACAATGCTTAGTTTGCAAGCTTTTTAATCTTACCTTTGTGTTCTGCCTCCCACCAACATATGCCTCTCTGCCCAAGAATCTGGCAGCTTCTAGTCTCCTGATGTTCCATAAATTTAACCTATTCCAATAGCACTGTTGTAGAGGTACTAATAGTTCTGTGCCTGCACGAAATCTAAGCAGTGAAGCCACAGCCATGCTAGGAAGTTAAATGTTCCAGTGTGTCTTCTTGTACCAAAGCAGACTGATACATAATATTTTTATCCAGCCTACTGAACTCTTATCAGCTGATGGCAAGGGTTATAGGTGATTGCACCAACAGCTCATAGCTACCTGCAGACTGCCTGCTGGGAATGTCCCTGAAGAGTCCCAGGAATTGTCTAAGAATGTCATAATGGTTACAGGCCAAAATGAGGTCAGGTGTTATGATTTCCACTGCCCAAGAATGTTCCTCAGTATGTATCTCTGCTGTAGATGTGGCTACTGAGTGCACAGTGTTCAGTTGCAGCTTCAGACTTGCCGTATGTGTGGGAATGCTGTGTGGCTCATGCAGTAGGTCCAATGCATCAGAGGTATTCCAGGTACTAGCACTCTACTGCTTGCTTTTATCCTCTTTCAGACTGGGGCTTATAATTTCCATTCCTTAAGATGGAGCTGTTGCCTGCATGTATTTTCTTGGCCCTGGAGCACCCTATTGCACATGAGGCCTAGGATTCGCCAGTAAAGCTTTGTTGCTGTAGGTACACCGGCAAGTCTTTGCTGTGCTAAGCCATTGCCAAAGCACTTCTGTGCTCACAGGGATTTCCAGATAGTGTTTTGCAAATTTGAGCTGAGTGTTATTTGGCCTCTGGAAGAGTGTAGCTCTGCTCTAGGCTAAATGCAGCACATGGGGAACTTACTGATTTCCTTCAAATTGAGGTTGGCCAAGAAGTGAGAATTGTATGGTCATGAGGTAGGAGGAGGGACAGGGTTGAAGTGGTGAGGATATGTGCTGGAAGATACGTAGCCTATAGCCAGTAGAAGTGGGAAGCACACAGAGCAAGATAAATGCTTAAAATAAGCGCTGCTCATCTCTGCTGTTCCTTTGGTTGAAGTGGGTAACTTTTCCCAAACTTGCCTAATTTTACTCTAATTTTAGTTAGACTTTAGTTTTTATGAGTATGTCAGCACTGTATGCTTTAGCACTTTGTGTTACAGAGGATGTATTATTCTGGCACTAGCCTGAGGTGACTCTGCATTGGGTAGCTCTGTGCCTGAGCTAATCATCTGAGGCAGAGTCCTGGGAAGCACGGTGCTGTCACACCCAAGGGTGTCTGAAGGACAGCATGGGCCTGCAGGACAGATGAATTGGAGCTAACAAACCTTGATGAACTTGAGCATCTCTGCTTTCAGAATCTGTCTTCCACTCAGTGTTCTGCAGTAGTCATATCTCAAAATACTGTTTGAGGTAACAGGGAGGTTGGTGTTTCAAAGCATGGTCAGCTCTCAATAGCATGAGTGTAGTTCAGCAGTTGCCATCCATCCTGTCTTCCCTTGCACTGTTCTGAGATAGGCCATCTTCTCTACGCAGGGTCAAAGGTTGCTCTAGGAGACAGCCCCAGTATAGTCTGCTTGTAACAGATAAGATACTTAGGGAGCAAGAACTTGAGCTGAGGTCAGGCCTGGACGAACTGAACTCAAAACACTATCTCACAGCAGCGTTCTGGGCTCCCAAAAGTGTTGAGATTGTCCAGTTCAGGTACAGTGGGGATGTGGCTAGTAAGACTGAGCAATCCTGAAAAAGCATCCTGTTTCGTATTTCTAGATTATATTGCCCATTTTTTTAAATGAAACTTCTAAAGTGATTACCTGGGGGGAGAATCATCCTTCTAAGGGAGAAGAAGAAACCTGGGAAAATGTGCTGTGTAGAGCAAGTGAGTTGGGAGAAACTGGGGGGGACTTGGAGGAGGGAAGAGGGTGGGAGCAGCAGGACAGGAGTTTCTTTACTGGCCACCAGTTTGAACAAACAAAACAACCCAACAGATGCTACCCCAAAGAAAAGAGGGCTTGGCAATGACTCTGAACAGCTAGTTCACTGGATGCCAGTGAGCACAAGAGAAGGGGGATGTGGCAATCTCTGTACAGCTCTCCTCATCCCTTTCAGCAAAGAGCTGAATGTAGCCAATAGCAGCAAGATCAGTCTTGGGTTAAAGGCTTCCATTTTAAACAATGTAAATATGTGCAGCTTCTTTTAAACAAACGAACCAACCCCAAAAAACCAACCAATGTAAACAAAACCCACATAGTCCCCCCATGATTTTTAAACCTTGCTAAAGACTTGGGTGTTACTGTTTTGAGGCTGTAGCTGTGTGAATGTGATCATAATATTTACCGCAGACTTCCAGGGAGGTACTTGCCCTTTTCCTGTCTCACAATGGAGGGAAGTTAGAACAAGGGCTTACAGTCAGTGAAATAAGTAATTCAAAACCTTTCAACTTAAATTATTTCTAGTAACTATGTGGTTGAAATAGTTTGTTTCTGAAAGCTTTTAACCTGGCAGTCTCTCTTCAGCAGTTACAGCTTTGTGGATCTGTGTGCTTTCAGGCATAAATTAACTGGAGTCAAATAAATTAATTCTCTCAGGACAGACATTTATAGTTCCATGAAGCCCTATATTGATCCAGGTGGCTATTTACTGTCATAGGTGGGAAAACTGGTTTGTTGCAGAGAGGAATAGGCATTTCTGTCATTTGGTAGTAGCGGCTTGCCAGAAGCTAAAGTGTGAAGTAGATAACAGTCATTGCTGCTGCATAATGGCGTTTTGGAAGCATCCTGTTGATTGGTGTTTCTAGATTATATTGGCCATTTTTTTAAATCAAAAATAAGATCA